GATACCAGCTTCATGCCAACTAGTCACCAACAGTCCTAGACCAGTATGATACCAGCTTCATGCCGCTGAGTTATAATAATAAATAATAATAATAAACTTTATTTATATAGCACCTTCCAACAATGCCTTGCATTGACCAAAGTTCTTTACAAGATAAAACAATAACAACAGGGCACAATAAATTAGAGTTATGCTGGCTTCATTTGTCAGAGCTCACAACACTGAAAGGACGAGGGTGGTTAGATTGGCATGAACCTTGCTTCGCTTACGAACAAACCGTCCTGCAGCATTGTGCATTCACACAAATAAAGTAATCAGTGGTGGGCCACTGAATGAAGAGTCCCTGATGATGGGAAAACATCAGCCAGATCAAAGATTGTTTTTGCAAGGTGTTGTCGAGGTCTTCTGGTACGTTTTGAGATTGCAATAGGTTCCTCATTATATGTTCTAGAATGTGATAGGTCTATGATGGTTTTGTGCATTCACAATTTTTTTGTGATCAAGTTGTGGCGCTTTAATTTTGTGATGGCAGTATTTTCATGACATAGTGCTCACACTATGAATGAGGTTTTTCAGATGTGCTGCAATCCAGCCACTTGTATAGGGAGGTAAGTTGTGGAGTGTAGCAAGGCACCACCTCATACTTACTGGCTTGTGAATACTTCCAGTGCTGGTTCAAAGGTCTGCTAGTATAGGATTAACTTTTAACTACCCCTTTTACCTTGTTCAATCTACACATAACAACAAGAAGGAAGACGGTGCTTCAGGCTTGGCTTGAAAGTTTTGAGTGAAAATGCACATAAAATGGCTCAAATGATTGCTGTAGCTGCTAGTTCCCTACATGGTATCTATTTTCTGCTTGATTCACATTTAGAGAGGAATGCTCTCGTGGTTTAACCATCAGTTCAACCACTGGTTGATTTGACATTAAAGGAAACAACAGATTAGCTTGCACTACAGTCACAGATGCATTTTGTCTGTCTAAAAGTTGCTTAGTTGTGTTTTGAACAACAAATGTCAAAATAAGTTAATAAAGATGTTTTTTTTCTTCCAATAAAATGGGAGAGATGTTTGGCTCCAGACCATCCACAGACAGGTTCAACATGGTCCATTTTGAGATCCAACAAGTCGTCATGTACACTTCTTCTTTCAGCTGTTCCCTCGTCAAAAGGTTACCACAGCGAGTCCTCCTCATCTCTGTCCTCTGCACCCTCTGTCCTCACTCCAACTACCTCCATGTCCCCTCTAACTGCATCCATATGTCTCCTCTTTGTCTTTTTCCTGGCAGATGCATTTCTAACATCCTTCTACCAATATATCGACTGTCCCTCCTCTGGACATGTCCCAACAACTCTCCCTCCTCTGGACATGTCCAAACCATCTCAGTCTGGCCTCCCTAATGTACCAGGTAAGTCCTCAGTTCTCACGTCTTGTGTGAGCTGAACTGGTAGGCAGCAGCCAAAAGTTAAGCCAAATAGTTTTGTAGCTACAAGTGAAGACCTATTTGTGCATCTCCTACAGACTCATTCAGCAAATGGTCAAATATGACACGTTGCAATGAAAATGGGTTGGCAACACATATCTTGTCAGAAAACCTTTGTGAATGTTTGGGGGTGCATTGTTGTGCTACTTAGAAGTTTAACTTCTCGACAGTAGAATAAAGCTAAAGTATCATGGGTCAGGTGCAGTCCAGATCTGGTCCAGAGCTGCTGCTCTGTTAAACACCGTGGACAAGATGCCACATCCAAAGACTGAAGGAATGGTTAAACATTTTGTTTTGTTTTTCCAAACCTCCACTTTTCAGAAAAATTTAGTTTAATCCCCAAAATTCACTCATGTTTATCTCCAAAATGGAAATGCAAATGCCAGTTGTAATGGGCAATGGTAAGCAATACTTAAAAATATAGAACACACATTTTGTAGCCAAACAAATGAACGAGCAAAAGAAACATTTGAAATATTTCAGACAAGTAGGACTCAAGAAACCTTGTTGCTTCATGATGGGTCTTACCGTTGTCGTCACAGGAGTCAGACTGGAAGGAACTCAGTGACTGGACCTCTGAGCCTTTGTTGCTGCCCGAGAAACACGTTTCTTCTTCTGCCATGTCAATCGTTTTAGCTGTGCAGACAGAACGGGCGTTAGAAGCCTTTCTTGGTGTCTTTCATCAGGCTGAGCCCTCATCACAAAGATTTGTAAAGGAAGTGTTGATCATACGACAAAAGGTTTCCTTGCTGACCTTTTATTTAACTGAAGAAAACACCTGGACTTCAGTCTACTTAAACTCTAGACCAATCTCAAAACTCTCCTTTCTTTCAAAATTCTGAATAGTTTTTATTCAATTAAATGACTTCTAAAGAAAATATGATATTTAGGAAGTTTTCCAGTTTGGCTTTAAACATTACATACAGAAGAATACACAGCACCAATAACTTTATACAAGTTTATTATAATCTGACTCTGGCGGAGATCCTTGACCTAACTGCAGCTTTTCATTCTGTTGTTTTTAACGTATGGCATAAATAAGTTCACTGGACTTGATTAATCACGTATAGTAGTGTTGTAGTACTCAAGACCGGTCTTGGTCTTGAGACCGGTCTCAATACCCCTTTTTGAAGGTCTTGGTCTGGACTTGGTCTCGGGTTTGGTGGTCTTGAACACAACACTAATGTATAGACAGGCAAATATGCTAATTTATTCACAATGGTTTTGTTTTTAGAAGTTTGAAGGAAAATTGACTCAATGTGATGAAAGTTAAATTAATGATAATTTAATGTGTTTAAAATGACCAAATTGCTGATATCAAGCTTCAGTTATAAAACTTGCTGTCTTCCTTCAGAGAAGATACAAAATACACTTATCACTGATAAATAACACAAAATGTATGAAATGCAGAATAGAGTTGCACTGAACATTCAATGAAGCAGTTTCTCACTAATTATTTAATTTAATTCAAACGGTCGTTGTAAACTCACCTTCATCCCCTGCTAAAGGACTCTTGTGAATGGAGTCACAGTCTGAGCGACAAGGCGACACTGGCGGTAGGTTGGGGGCCACGCTGCACACCACCACCCCTCTCCTCGTGGATCCACAGAGGATTCTTGGTGAATCAGGGTGAAAAGTGCTCATTTCTGTGTGCTCTACATGACCATCTGACATCTTCTCTAGTTTGGACAGTGGTTCTGCTTGGAAACAAGGTGTGTATGCCATAGGTCTCACAGGAACTTGTGGAGGTCCCATCACCCCAACCCCTCCCACCATGGTAGGGTCTAAACCCGTCTCTGAGTACAAGCTGAGAGGGTCTCCTGGTGCACAGTGCAGAGTCTTAAACTGAACACAGCTAGCCTTGTTGAGGAGAGCTGCAGTGGCCGGGTCCTGGACCAGAGACAGGTTGCTCCGTGAGTAGTTCTTCTGAAAAGCTTTCTTACGGAGTGCTATGAAAAGGATTATCAAGACGATGATGACAAAAAAGACCCCGGTGATGCCAATCAGCTCCTCTTTTCCAACCACAGCATGACCAGCCTGCATGTCAGGAACAACAACAGCCCGCAGGCTGCAGCGCTGGCCCACAAAGCCTGGGGTGCAGTTACAGTAGAAAGAGCCAGGAGTGTTGACACAACTTCCTCCGTTCTCGCACTGACCCTCAGGGTTGCTTCGGTCACATTCATTGACATCTTCTTCACAACTGCAGGATGAAAAGATACAGGAAAAGGATTATGTTTCAAATTGTTTATTTAGTGGCTCCAACATGTACCAGCATTAAAAATATGTATGTATGTATGTATGTATGTATGTATGTATGGATGTATGGATGTATGTATGTATGTATGGATGTATGTATGTATGTATGTATGTATGTATGTATGTATGTGTAAGGATGGTACCATTTGCTGTTTCTGTTTGCGTCTGTGTTTTCCTAGTGTTTCCTCGTCAGTTCAATTGGTGCCACCTTTGTCTCGTCACAGCTGTTGTAATCACGTCTTGTCTTGTCCTTGTATAAAAGCTGTCTGTTCTGTCTTGTTCCTCGTCGGGTCGTATTCGTTGGGTCTCCTGTGTTCTCCTGCATCTTCTGAGTCTTCCCTGAGTTTCCTGAGTCCTCCCTGAATTTCCCTTTGAGCCATCCGTTTTTCATGTAAGTCTTGCTGCCACGTCTGCTATTATTTTGTTCTTTATTTTCTATTAAAATACCTATTTTTGTAATCTGCCGAGTTGAGTCCTGTCTGCACTACTGGGTTCGTTCCTGACCACCAAATCCTGACAGGATGGATGGATGGATGGATGGATGGATGGATGGATGGACGGATGGACAATACTTCTATAGCACCTTTCTATCTTACCAAGACACTCAAAGCTCTTTACAACAATCTGTGGCTCATTTACCCATTCATACAGCTCTATACTAGATCTGTACAAAGAATAATCTGAACTTTATCACATTCATACACTGATGAATGGCTGGATGAACGGATGGATGAACGGATGGATGAATGGGTGGCTGAATGGATGGACGAATAGATTCTAGCCTTGTTAGTGAAGTAAATAATCATTAAAACTAGATCTATTCAATTAATTTTATTTAAATAGCACCAAGTCACATCAGTCTCTGCCTCCCTGCCAGACTGTCTGATGGTCTCGTGCCTGAACATCCAGCTTTCTTGTTCCTAAAGACTCGGTTCAGGTTGCACTTGATTATTTTAAATAAACAATCCATGTTGCTTGTGCGGCTCACTCAGGTATAAGACAGACACACACCCCGCCCCCTCCTTTCTTTTTCTGAGGAAAAAGAAATGAGGGGGCATAGGGTCAGTCTTATATCTGACTGAGTCTCTTTTATAAACTTCATCGTCTGATCTGTTCATCCCTGCTCCCTGAGCTGTGGCGATGGGGAAACACAGACCTCACCCCCACCCTCCTTTCTCTTTCTGAGGCAGTCACAGCAGACCTGAGACCAGCCCATTGTGTCTCTACTCTGCTGTGACTGCCTCAGAAAGAGAAAGGATGGGACAGGGGTGGGGTCTGACTTTCCCCATTCCCAGTCATGTGTCGTGTGCAATCTTACACTGAAAACACGCAAAAGAGTGAATCTGGGAGAGTCGAACCTCGAAGTTTTCAAGGGACTACTGTACTTAGTTTAAATCACTGTAAAGTGTTTATAGTCACAGTCTGTACGGATCTTTAAGAACTTCCAAAAGTGAGGGGTGGTACTACGAAGCAAGAGTTCCACTTCAGCCAGAAACTCGTCACCTGCACCTGCAACATCAAAACTCCTCACCATGGTAACAGAGGTCAAACTCGTCACCGTGGTAACAGAGGTCAAACTCGTCACCGTGGTAACAGAGGTCAAACTCGAAGTCTCAGGCAAAGCTGTGATTTTTTTTTTTTACTTGTTAATCAATGTTATTGAACAGAAAGAAATGATAAAATAATGTGTGGAACGTCTCTTTTGACGTGAGCACAAGTGGAACGTTTGAGAACAAAGAAACATTAGAAGCACGGCTTGGCATGTGTCAAACAGGACATGAGAGAAGGTCCAGCTTGGTGGAACCAGCCCTCTTCTGTTTACAGTAAACACTTGTTTAGTAAATAACGGTGTGAGGTGGTGGAAAAGTTTATCTGTTGATGTGATGATTAAGTGAAGCGAAGGCCGGCCAGGGTTTGGATCAGAACTCACATGAGACCCTTGAAGCCTCTCCTGCAGCTGCAGAGGAAGGCGCTGCCAACGGGTCGACACACTCCACCGTTCTGACAGGGGTTAGGAACACACACGGTCACCTCCACGTCACAGCTGCCCCCAGTGAACTGTGGACTGCAGCTGCATCTGAACCCTGGGGGGGCAGAGTCAAAGCAGATAACTAGTGAAATATTTCTACAGTTTCTCATAAATATGTGCAGACAGTACTCAGGATGATAAAGACGTGAAGAAGGTTGGCTCTCTGGATGTGCTACACCTGCTTCTATTTGGAGCCGTACTGTGACGAAACTGTCCTGTGATGATTCAAGAAGTCATCAAATATTAAAAATAAACTTGTCTTTCTGCGTTGTTCTGATGATTTTGTTGCTCACGCATCATTACCAGTCGTGCAGGTATTTAGTGTCCAAGTACTTTTAGCCAAACAAAGGTATATGGTAATATATCAACCCTCATATTGTGTTTATCCTTTATATAACTTTGAAGTACTCAAAAGTATATTGCAAATATTATGACACCGTTTGATGCAGAAAAATACATAAAATAGCCAACTTTTGTTGTTACTCAGACACCTTTGCCTTATGACTATTTCATTCTTAGGAATTAGAGTTTAAATATTTTAGATCACATAGTAAATATTTGAGTATTTCATGCATTTTTAATATTTATTTCTGAGCTCCTGGGCTGATGTGGACCTTTCATTAGTGCTGTTTGAAAGCAGCTTCTAAATGAAGACCTGCAGCTTCTTGCTGCAGTTCCAGCTTCTTACCACCAGAGGGCAGGCTGGTGCACGTGGCCCCGTTGTGGCACGGTTGATGCTGGCATGGGTCAGGGTAGAGAATGCAGCCGAGCTTGAGCTCTGTCAGTTCCACCACCTCTGCGTACTGCGAGCGTTTGTTCTGCAGAGGAAGCTCTCTGTTGTTCAGCATGACCGAGTCCAGGCAGCCCTGGAATCCCTCACCGACTCGCGGGTCCTTCTGGGAGGCCACCAGGCTGCGAGAGTTCGGCGGCTGCACCTGGCAAGTGACAGTTCACAAGAAACAGGCATGAAATACACAATTCTCTGAGTAGAAAAGGAAAAGTAACATATGAACACAAGAACGAGGATATAATATCTCAGACTGTTCTGTGCATTTTTTCATTCAAACTTTATTTCTACAGGTTGATCCCATTGAGCCTCGAGGACTCATTTACAAGAGAGACCTGATTTAACAAAGTGATGACAACAGTGGACAGTTATAAAAAGGCATACAGATATAT